AGATTGTGCCACTATAGGAACATGGGCATAGACAAGCAAATCTTGATCATTATCAGCACATAGAACCTAGTTTAGTGAAAAAATTCATGTAAAACAAATATTTTTTATTATAACACTAGAGGCCCAGTGCAAGAAATTCATGCACTTTGGAGGGGGTGTCCCTCAGCCCAGCCTGTTCTTTCTCCAATCTGGGACCCCTCCCAACTGCTCGCCTGCCTGCCAGCCTGATCACCCCTAACAACTCCCTTGCCAGCCTGATCGATGCCTAACTGCTCTCCTGCAGGCCCGGTTGCTCCCAACTGCCTTCTCCTGAAGACCTGGTTCCCCCCCACCTGCCCTCCCCTGCCTGCCTGATTACCCCCAACTGCCCTCCCCTCCTGCAGGCCCGGTTGCTCCCATCTGCCTTCTCCTGAAGACCTGGTTCCCCCCCCACCTGCCCTCCCCTGCCAGCCTGATTACCCCCAACTGCCCTCCCCCACCAGCCTGATCACCCACAACTGCCCTCCCCTGCTGGCCATCTTATGGCAGCCATCTTGTGTCCACATGGGGGTGGCCATCTTGTGTGTTGGAGTGATGGTCAATTTGCATATTACCTCTTTATTATATAGAATTGATATTTGACACTAATGAAAACTCGTGTACTTTCAGATCAAATGTGCATTATGGAAAGATCCTTCTGGCTACTACACAAGAAAAGATTCTAAGAAGCAAGAGCGGGTATTACAAAGGCAGGCGTAGTAGGTTCCCGTTGTCTTGACACCCCTCTCCTACCAGTTCTCATTACTTGGATGCCAATTTGAGGGTGAAGGTGGTCCTGATCTGTTATTAGGCAGCAGTAGACTGATGCCTTTCAGCATCTTTTCTGATCCATTGTCTGGTTTCTAGTTTTGTTTTTGATCTTAAAGAGTTCGAATTAGCTATTTCTTTGTCTCTTTCTTCCAATACATTTTAAGCTCTATGTAGCACCGTGAAAAATACACCTGAAATATATATTGAATAAGTAAATAGGTGAATGTGATTTTTCTAATGGAGTGCACCTCTTGGGCCTAAATTTCCTAGAACTTACTGCATATTTTGGATATTGATTTTGTCCCCTAAGATGTTGTCCATGGAGTGAGGCTTGGCTACAGAATTAGTTTTCTCTGTTTCATCAACTCTTCTAACGTTCCTGCTCATGCTCAGTCTCTGTCTTGTTACCTCATTTGATTTGAAATGCCAGAGTTCTTTGTGTGTAAGGCAGCCTGACTCTTTACATTTTTTTCATAAATATTACATAAATGTAGTTTAACACCACCATTATATACTACCTTTACATTTCCATAAGAATTATTGTCCTATAATAAAATTTGCCGATCTACATATCCACCCATTTATTTATGTTTAAAACAGCTTTGTACATGACTTCTTGCTATTCCTAATGATTTATTTGCCTATAATTATAAACATTTTTACATCATATGTGCAAAATAATTTTACAGACGTACCTTGATTTATTGGTGATGTACATGTGAAATCATTAATACAGAATATATGTTGTAGAAAGTACAAAAATGCTATTAATCTGCCACATAGTATGAGCTTGAATAAGAATCAGGGTAATGCCATGTGCTTTTGCATTACTTAAGCAGCTTATACCCACTGCACTCCTATAACTTAAAATAGCTATGCTTATTTAAATCTAATTTTGCACCATAAATGTATTCCTAGGCTGAATTATTTATGTCTCTGTTCACAAACAACATTTCAATACATTATACAGTAAAGTTAGAAGAGAATATTTGTATGAAATATCATTTCATTGGTAGCATTTATACAAGGTATTCATGGTAAAAGTGGAGCCTCATCATATTAATTTTCTTTGTCATTTTCCCCAAGAATTTAGCAGTGGAAAATGAGAGAGATAGAGAGATTGAGAGAGGAAGCTCTAGGGGTTGAATTTACCTTTCCTAAATCTAGTTTTTGCAATCCCTTGGACTAGGCATCAGTATAATTTGCACTGTCTCTCACTTTAGCAGTGTCCTTGAGGTCTTACCTTTCTACGTAATCAAGTAGCCGGGAACAGTGATTTGAAGCAGGAGCATCATGACCTCCTACTGCATAAAGGAAACCATCACATGTGGCTACTCCAACACCCCCTCTTCTTTTACACATTGGAGCACACATGTTCCACTTATTTGTATGAGGATCATAATACTCCATTGAACTCAAACATGAACTTCCATCACGGCCTCCAACTGAGTACAACCTAGAAAACACAATTGGAAAACCATGATTTAATACTATAGTATGGATGACAAAATGTAAAAAGAGAAATGTCATTTATAAATAAATTTAAGCACAGTACGAGTCTCAAATATATTTGAAATACTCCTTCACATGGAAATTTTTGTTAGAGGTACTTTATAAATAACTGCATAAGCCTAGAGTTCCCATCATTCTAATATACAGAATACCAGATGAAATTAAAACAACTATAATTTTCTAACCTCAGTTATTTCTGGGATGTTAGGTAGATTTATACTGCTTTTGCCATACTAATTCAATATTTTAATATATCATTTTAATACATATTAAGGAATTATTTAAAATATAGAATAAGATATGTTTACCCCCAATTTTCCTTGAAAATTCCCATAATCAAAAGAACACTGATTATCTTACTTGATAAGCAATTGGTTTGCATTGGCAAATAAATCATGCCCACTTCTTGTGTTCTGTCCCTACTGTTTAGAACACTAACTAAATGGAATTTCTAAGCAAGTATTGTCATAACATCAGCTTCCTTAATCAGTGCTTAACCTATAGCTAATGTGTTACATAGATAAGTCTTTACAGGAAAAAAGTGTGTAGTCATGTTAATCTGACTGAATATTGCTGAAATTTATTCCTTAGTACACTCATTTTCCTACAGTTATTTCATTAATGACAAGTATGCTACATACCTGGGAAAATAAGTGCTACAGCATAAATGATACTTAAATGAGTAAAAATATACTATTTATAATAAAATAGATCTTTTCTATTTGTCATCGCTATGAAAATTTCATCACAGTGAGGTACAGAGTTACATTTATTTATTAATTCACTCAACACATATTTTTCAATGCCTAGGTTATGCCACACACATCATCTAAAGTTTTGCAGATATATCCATGAACAAAACAGGATAAATATCCCTGCACTTAATACTTCTGGAATAAGGGGTAGACATAACATATAAAATAAACACATATATTTCTTTATAAAGACTGGGTGTTGTAGACGTAGATAGAGCAGGGAAGTGGGGTCAAGTGTGCAACGGTAAGAGAGGGATTGTGGTTATAATTTTAAAGATATCATCAAGAAAGTTCTCACTGAGAAGATGATGTTAGCACAAAAATTTGAAGAAGACAATAGTGGTTGGATGTGAATAAAGGAATATCTGCCAGAGAAGATCCAAGCAGACAGAACAAGTGACTACCAAGGTCCAGGAGCAGCAAGGGAGCCAGAGTGGTTGGAGCAGACATTGAGGGAGGAGTGGCAGATGAGGTGAGAGGTAAGGAGTACAGGGTGAACCTCATACAGTTATTTGTAGACATTCACTCTGAGTGAAACAGGAAGCCATAAGACATTTTTTGAGCAGAGGGTGATAATACTTGCTTGGGTTTTAATATGGTTAGATGTTAGGAAATTTTTGTCTTATTAGTGGATATTATGCTTAATATATTGGTAAATAGACAATTGAGTACTTTTCAATTTATAAATAAATGTTCAGGAAGACATTACTGCTTAGAATATAATTTAATACAGGCCTTATATTTACCAATTTATGCTCTATTATATTTTACTAACTCTAAAATATGATGGCTAAACTGATTCAAATCCTGGAGAGTTATTTTTTAAAGCTGTTTAAGTTTCTTTGAATGCCTGCCACAATAAAGTGTTTCTGATTCCCCGAGTGTGCCGTTATGGACATAATGCTTTTTCGCTTGATTACTCAACAAGTTGTCGGCCAGCTCTCAGTCTTGCAACATGTTGATATTAACTAATAAGAGCATTTTGTAGAACAAATATCAAACAATTTAGCCTGCAAAAGCACCCAGAAGTGAAATAATTATTCACTCAGAAGATTTTATCTTCCTAAAAACTTTCTGAAATCTGAACTTCACTTATGTTTTCATTTTACTTATATTGAAGATCTAACTCAAGGGAAGTCTACAATAAGCTTAATGTATTATTATTAAAATTTAACTAAATATTTTTGCAGGAATTTTGCTTTTTGGAAATCTTCTCATGAAGCACATAGTTTATATATAAGAAAAGCATCCCCTCTTTTATCTATTGTTTTAAAGAAATTGTTGACTTTAAGCTGTTTTATTTATTTATACATATAACAGTGATAAATTATGGTATTGCTACATCTGAACTCAGTGTTTCTAATAATATATTATTCCTGTGCAGCAATTTATCATACATTTTCTTTTTCTAAGAATATTAAATATGCTAACATATACAAATATATAGCTAAATGTATATAAAAGTAATGGTAATTAATATAACATATTGCTTATAACATAAAAGTCAATATTGAACCTATTAGTATAGGCTTTTATATGGAAATTAAACAATCCCATAAAGTTTGCTATATCATAATTGATTCTTTAATATAATTACATATATTACAAACCACTATTCATTCAGTCTCTCTTCTATGTAAACCTCCCCTAATAAAGTCTAATAACACCAGGGATTATAGAAGAAAGAAATTTATGTAATGCTTTCATACAAATGACCTAATTTTTGACAGTTTCTTTTGTAAAATAAGTATTTTATATGTCTATATAACTATTACTTTGTAAATGATTTACCAAAGCTAGATTATCAGTGGTTTCTTTCACTTTATATCTAGCCTTTTTAATGCCCTTCATGGTATTATATAGTCTACAGATCAGTAATAAAATTATTGTAACTTTAATAATATAACATAAATTGTTGATAATGTTAGGGAAAAACTAGTTGAAAAGAATAAATAAACCTTTTTTTTCCCCCCTCAAGAACAAGCTGTGAAAAAGAAATCAGAAAACTTAACTTATGTAAAATATATGATAGTGTCCTTTAGGACTGCTTTATGGATCTACTGTTAAAATTAATAAATGTATTTCAGTATTTGAAAAAGACCTTGAAAACTGTGTACTTTACAAATATCTGTTATTAACCACTATCTATAATCCACTTATTTTGAAAAGAAAATTTGCTAAGTGACTAAAATTTTAAATGTAAAAATAAATAACAACAATAATAATAACTATTACTGTAATTACATTAAGTTTATAAAAATAACCAAGGATATAAACATTATATTATAAGCAGCTAGAATAAATGCTAAAAGGTATGCATCAAACTTTATGGACAATTATCAAAGATTATCTTCTCAGATCTTCCCTCACCATCTATTTAAATATAGTGTAGATTGATTTCCTGCTTTGTTACTACAAGGACAAGTTAGATGTTGAGAATCTGAAGAGCGAAGAAGAAACTCTACCCTGACAACATAGGAAGTGACAGCTGACAGTTTCACAGTGAGAAAGGAAATTTGACATTTTAACTCAGAGTTGAAAGATGAGTAGAAATTTGAAAGATGAAGTAAGGAGAAAGCATTACATGTAGGAAAATATTATGAGTAAAGACAAGGGTCATGAAAGGTCATAGAAGGTGACAAATAAAGAGTGGCAGGTATGTCATGTTGATGGAAGAGGTTGTAGTGATGGGAGGGAAAGAAGAGATACAGCTGGTAGAATGAGAAGATTAAAAGGAGAATGAAGGGGGGTGGGGGTGATTATGTGTCCTGCTATAGAGTTAAAACTTCACTCCGAGGCAATGAGAAAAGGGCAAAAAACAATATTCTTAGAGATCATCAAGGTCATAGTTCAGTTTGCTGTGCATATTAACTAGTATTTCCCTTGGAAGCCAAACATTGGCAGGGAATCAGAAATATTCCTTACTTTAGCAAACTCTTGTAGAATTTTGCTGAGTATGGCAAGAATCTAAGTCTCCCCTACTGCTTTCCCTAATGTCTGTGTTTATTCAGCATGCCGAAGAGTTTTACCTAAAGTTTAGCGACCAGGTGTCAGTGTGTTGAAGTCTAGCTGCCATGTGCCTATCTGAGTATCACATATTTACTATTCTAGTAACTACAAAATAGCAGTTGCAGGAAAGAAATCTTGTATTAGGATAGGGGTGAAATGTGTGTAAAGTGGCTTTGTAGGTACTGAGAACCAGGCTGTTCCCATTTATAACTGTGTCATATGTAGAGTCTGACCCTTTGCCATGAATTGTTAAGAGTCTGAATTTAACCCTACTTGGCAACTAACAGATTCCCTACCACAGCTGAAAGAAGACACATGATTCCTGGGTCAGAGAAAAATGACTTTATTACTCACTGCACAATAGGTAGTATGAGCTTCATGTTCATATTGCTGCTTCTCATCCCCCCATGTCCCACCAGACTGATGCAGAGAGACTCGGGTAAATGCTGACACACAGTGGGTTTTTCTCACACTTGAAGGTCACGAGTTTATGAAATATTCTTTAAAAGAGAATGCCAACAAACCTACCCAACTTTTGCTCTGAAGAGAGACATTATTATTCTGGAGAAGAAATAATTCTGCTCTCTGTCCCAAAGAAAGACACTGTTTCTGTCTTCCAAAGCTGTTTGATTTACAAATGCCCTGAATGAGATAGTATGAAAAGAAGTTGCCGATACTTCTTGTTTGGAAAATGTGCAGTAATGCTAAAACCCGATGGTTGAATTATCTATGTACCCTGATGTCCTGATGTCCTAAGGTACCTCTTGCTATCACAACCATAGTTCATGTGGCAGAAAGCCAGAAGAGAGGAAGAAGGAGCACATCCTTTGCCTTTAAGATTTTATCTTCC